AGTGTCATGAAAACCTAGAGAGGAGAGAGGATCACATCTGAGAGGATGTGATGAATACTTTCAAATGTTGCAGAGAGGTCAGCAGAATATGTAATTAGGTGGGTTTTTTTTTTTAATTAAGAGATCATGGGTCACTTTGGAAGGACAGTTTCAGTTGAGTGATAAGTTTGGAAGCCAGATGGTAGATGGTCTGAAAGGGAGAGAGAAACGAGACACTGAGGGTTTAGCACAGGGGTGGGGAACCTGTGGCTTGAAATTCCACATGTGACCTTAAGGCCACAGGTTCTCCACCACTGGTTTAGCACAATGCCTCGCACATAGTAGGTGCTTAATAAGTGCTTCCTGATTGATTATAAAATGATGGCATTGGACTAAGGTCCCTTCTAACTCTGGACCTCTGAGCCTGGATTTAGGAAAAACCATAAACTGCTCTGCTTGTCATTTAAATCTGCCTACAGCCAACCTTTGGAGACTTATTTCACACTTACTTCTCGTACTTGACATTCCATTAAATTTGTGTTCAGAATTCCATCTCTACTCACTGTGCCTTTGCCAAGCTATCTATCCCTCAAAACCTGGAATGAACTCCAAAATTTCTCTATCTGATCATATATCTTATCATATCATTCCATCTTTCCCCCTTTACCTTATGACCCCTAACCCTGTTCTTTGTCCTTACCATGACCTGCATTCCCTCTACCTCTCAGTTCCTCCCCAGGCCATTACTCCTGCATTGACTACACTCTTTTTCCTTCCTCTTCTTGACCATGGATAGACCTAATCAACTCTACCTTATCCTCTGCTCTTAAATACCTTGCCCCCCTGTCCTATGATGGATCACACCTTGTCGAATATTAACCATGGTTATTCCTACTATCTGCCTCATTCACTACTATTCTTACCTGCTGTTGAATGATCTGAAGGAAATAAAGAAACCATCTTGATTGGATCCACTGCATATTTGTGCTATCTAGTCCCAACTGGGCCTTCAGTGTAGCAAGGCAATAAATCTACTGCTACCTATTTGATTCACTCTCCTACTCTCCAGAGTGGTCCCTGGAGAGACTCCAAATGAGAGAAATCTCATTTATCCTCAAGCTTCCCACAGCACCCCATCCCCTGCTCTCTCAGCTGAGGACTTGGCCTCCTACTTCAAAAAAATTAAGGCCATTCACAGAGGGCTCCTTCTTCCCTCTTTTTCTTCATCACACATCAGTCACCCAGACATCTTCATTATCTTTTTCACTTTGATATTTGATGAAGAGGTGGCCCTTCCTACAAGGCCAACCCCTCTATATGAATCCTTGATCCCATCCCCTCTAGACTTCTCCAGGAATTTTCTCCTACTAATCATCCTCATTCTTTCTCCCCAGTTTTTCCATATTCACTGGCTGCCTTCCCAGCTGTTTACAAACATGTCTCTTTCACCCTTACAAAACCCTCACTTGGTCTTACCATTCCCACTAGCAATCATCCTATCTCTCCCCACTCTTTCTGTGGCTAAACTTAAGAAAACCATCATTCTCAGTATTTCCTCTCATTGCCTTCTGAGTCCTCTGCAATCTGGCTTTTGACCTCATTATCCAGCTGGAACTGCTTTCTCCAAAGTCATCAGTGGTTTCTTAATTGGCAAATCTGACCTTGACCTTTTTGCAGTCTTTGAAACTATGGATCATCTACTCTTAAATACTCTCTTATTTATTATTATCTTAATGTTAACAATGAAACTAACCCATGCAAGCATTATAGATGGCCAAGAAGTAGAAATTCCTTTCTACAGGTTTTCGTGACACTGCTGTGGTTTTCTTCTATTCATTGGACCTCTCCTTAGTCTCTTTTGCTTCTCTGCCATCCAGTTGAGGGGAGGGGATCCCTCAAGACTTTGTCCTTGGCCCTCTTTTCACTCTATAGTATTTCACTTGGTGACCTCATTTTTATTTTTTGATTTTAATGATCATTTATATATAAATGATTCCCACATATGTATGCATACACACACACACACACATGCACACACACGCACACGTATATATTATAAGCTACTATATCTAGAACTTGAAGGAACCTTTGAAGTCACCTGTCCCAGCTCTCTCATTTTGCTCATGAGAAACTGAAGCCCTGAGAGAAAAAGTGTCTTGAGTATAGAACACAGGTAGGTGGTAAGTGGCAAATTTGGGATTTGAACCCAAGTCCTTTGACTCAAAATCTTGCACTCTCTCCATTGTATCACATTGTCTCTCTTGTTCTCTTTCTCCTTGCATCACTGATGACCTTTCAGATATCTCAAACTGGAGATACCCCATAGGCATCTCAAACTCAACCTGTCCAAAACAGAACACATAATCTTTTCTTCAAAATTCACCCACCTTCTGGGCTTCCCTTTTATTGTTGAGGGCACCGTCATCTTTCCAATCACCCAGACTCCTCATTCTCACTCACCCCATATATCCAATCTATTGCCAAATCATGTTGGCCTTACTTCTACCTTTACCTGATTTTTTTTTTGTTATTTTAAAAAGTTTTACTCTGAATATTGAAAATTTGAATTTTTAATAGCTACAAAGAAAAAAGATCAAAGAAAAAAATCAGCCACATCTGAAGAGCCAATATAACCGATTAACAGAATGTAGTAGTATACTATTTAAAACAAACAGTGCTGATGTGTTAAAATAAATTGGCTATTAGTAAAAAAAATACATTTTAGGGCACGTAATACAGCATCTGTATCACAAATTACAGTAAGGATAATTTTCCAGAATTTTTTCCAAAACTTAATCAAAGTAGAGAATTTTGAGTAATTCATCTTTTTTAAATGTAGTACTTAAAAATTCTGTGCCTTCTTGTTCTAAAAAAAGTCCTTGTGTTTATATCGTAGAAATGCTACTTTATTGCTGTAAGACTTCAAAGGTCAAATTATATAGGTGCAAATAAAAAGATATCCCTAAGAAACTTGTATACATATATATGCACATACATATGTAAGTATGTATACCTGTGTATATAAACACATTTTTCATGTGTGTGTATGTATGCAAAGTTTTCTTTACCTTTCTCCATTCACACAGTCACCGCCCTAGTTCAGGCCCTTAAGCCAATTTGACTAGACTATTACAATAACCTTGTAATTGGTTTCCTTTCCCCAAGACTTTCATCTCTCCCAATCTGTCCTCTGTTCAACCACTAGTGAACTCCAGTGTTTCCCTATTACCTCTAGGATCAAACATAAACTACTTTGTCATTTAAGGCTCTTCTTAATCTGGCCCCTTACTGGTAGTTGGCATTAAAAATGGAATGGAGAAGAGATTGTTCAAAGATCCTTTGGATTATCTGAGGATCTCATTTTTCCCTGCCTAGAATGAACAATTGAGTAAGCCATACGTAAAATCCAGGACAGGAAGTGCCATTTATTTATTTATTATTTAAGTTCAAGGAGATAGCGTGGTTGTGTGGAAAGTGCATCCAGATATCAGGAGACCCCCTTCATTTGAATCCTGACTCTACTATTACTCGAGTGACTAGGCCTCAGTTTCCATCTATAAAATAAGAAGATAGGGCTTGACAATCTCTCAGGTCCCTTGAATTTACAATCCTATGATATTTACATAAATGAATATACTGAAAGGTAGGGGAGAGGTATAAATGTGTAGGGGAAGTAGAAGTAGTAAGTGCTGTGAGAAATCCCTTCTACCTGGAGGGTATGGCTCAGGGAAGACTTTCTGCAGGAGAATCCTGGGCCGGATGTGTCCCATCTCTCTCCTCGGTTTTCTTTCCTAGAAAATGAGTGGATATAGGGGTAGCTAGATGGCGCAGTGGATAGAGCTCTGGCCTTAGAGTCAGGAGGACCTGAGTTCAAATCCAACCTCAGACACTTGACACTTACTACCTGTGTGACTCTGGGCAAGTCACTTAACCTCTGATTGCCTCACTGAAAAAAAAAAAAGAGAATGAATGGATAGGACTAAAGGGCCTCTCAGGTTTCTTCAGCCTTAGAGTCTATGATGTGGTATTTGAGTTGTGTTTTGGAGGAAGGAGGACCATGCTTACTTGTTTGTTAAATAAGCTCTTCACAGGTTCTTTTTCTTTTTCTTTTTCTTTTTCTTTGCTTTTTTTGGCAATTGGGGTTAAGTGACTTACCCAGGGTCACACAGCTAGTAAGTGTCAAGTGGTTGGTCTGAGGCCGGATTTGAACTCAGGTCCTCCTGACTTCAGGGCCGGTGCTCTATCCACTGCGCCACCTACCTACCCCCACAGCTTCTTTTTCTAAAGATTGACACAGCCTCAAAGGGACACACCAAGTGCTCCTGTCATATTTAGCCAAACCCCATTGATCTTGTCCAAAGAGAATGAATCAATTTTCCCCCAACGGAAGAAAAAATGCTTGGGGGCATTTATCATTCTAGTAAGGCACACAGACTTACAAATCTTAGCATGAATGAATGATTCTACCTCTCTTGTGCTTACAGGGTGTAATCAGCAGAGGACATGGAGTCTTAGTGGTAGATCTAGAATTGAAAGGGACCTCTGTGGCCGTCTGCTCTAACCCCTTCCTTATACAAGTGAGGAAATTGGAGTCTCAGGATGGTTAAGTGATTTGCTCAAAGCTACACGGATAGTAAGCATCAGAGTTGGGATTCGAACCCAAGTCCTGTGGCCCCTGATTTTTCCATTATATCACCATGGCTTCTTGAAGATGTGCTACATGGGCTTTGCCGGTGGCATTTTTGTCTTCTTTTTCTATGCGTCCTCTCCTCCTGGTGAGAATAGTTTGGGTCCTCCATGTTACTTTTTGGTCCATTTTTAGATTAGTCCCTGAAACAACTGCTAGACATGGCAGCCCTTCAAACAGGAAGTTCATACAATTATTAGGACATTTAAAACCTTTCTTAGTTAAGTGTAACTCAGGAAGGCTCGTTTGCTTTTTCTTCCTTCCTTTTTTTTTTTTTGCTCAGTTATTCAAATAAGTCTTCAACAAACTTTTCCCACTTGTCTCATCTCAGCTCCCAATCGGTTGTTCTCCAAATTCACCCCATCGGCTTAACACCAGGCAGGCTTTTCTGACTCCCCAACACCTAAAATGGCCTCGCAGACCCTGCGGACATTAAGGTACTGGGAAACAGATTGGGTAGGGAAAAATATATGTGTGTGTGTGTGTGTTCTCACAGAACCTGAGAAAATCACACCTTCACTTTGTTAAAAAAAAAAATCTGTTTGTGCTGCTCCAATAATCACTTCCTAACTAGTGGGGTAGCAGACCATATGTCTGCATGGTGGCTGGATGAAGAAACTACCTACCTCTGTTTCTAACAAAACCAGTTAATAAAAAAGAAAATTGTGCCCCTTCCCCCAAGCCCCTAAACAGTGAGGAGGGATTTCTGTTTCTAAATGATAATCTCAGTGTTGATTGCTCATGAAAGATAAATGAAGGAAGGCTGTTTTAAATGCATACAGTTGGGTACTCTGGGCTGTTTAGGGTCGAGGTCATTAACTAGTTAGTATAAAAGTCCAGCATCCCTTGGGCAAATCTACTAGCAACTGCTGAACAGGAGGGGCTGCTGTTCTAATCCTGATTTTGCTACTAACTTGCCCTGTGGCCTCCAAGAAGTCACTGATCTTTTCTGGGCTAAGTCTCTGTAAAATGGAAGGCCCAGATTTTCAAGCTGGAAGGAACTATAGGCATATTTAGTCCAACTCTCCCAACCTCAACCACGTAGAAATAGAAGAGCTGAGATCTGAAGGCAAATCCTCTCTGCAAGTCCAGTGCACTTTCCACAGTAGCCCTTATTTGGAATGGAAGATGGTTATGTGACTTTGGATAAATCAATCATCTTGTCTCTCGGAGCCTCAGTTTCCTCCTGGTATAGTAGAGTTAACACTGGACAGAGACAGGAGATATGATGGGTTTGCTTTTCTTCTTTCACACTCACTAGCAGTAGCAATCTTGGCAAGACATTGGACCTCCTTGGACCTCAGTCTTATTTATCAAATGGGGATAAATAACCATTACACAATCTCTCTCACAGTTTGTTGGGCTAAGCAACCACTTCATAATAAAATTAAAGCACTATCTAAATGTGAGCTATTATTATGAATAATATTTGAACTACTTACATTACTGGGGGAGGGGTGGTTGTGAAGGTCAAAAATGATGTGTCAAAAGCACTTGGTAGGGGCAGCTAGGTGGCACAGTGGATAGAGCACTGGCCCTGGAGTCAGGAGGACCTGAGTTCAAATTTGGCCTCAGATACTTGACCCTTACTAGCTATGTGACCCTAGGCAAGTCACTTAACCCTGATTGCTTTGCAAAAAAACAAAAACAAAAACAAAAAACAAAAGCACTTGGTAAGCCCCAAAGGCCTAAATAAAGGTCAGCAATTATTTGCTGGTAAGGGAGCCAGTTGGTTTGGGAATCAGGAACACCTTATTCAAATCCTCCTTTTGATATTTGATGGTTGTATGTTCCTGGGTAAGTCCTTTAATTACTTAATTACTGTGCATCTCAGGTAACTCCCCAGGTCTTATCTACCAAATGGTAAGGAAGGTTCCCACACTGAGGAAATCACAGCTCCTTCTTATCACAGTCCTGTGATCATTAGGGGGCAGAAGGTTGGGCCTGGAGGTCAGGAAAATCTGAGTTCATATTTGGCTTCAGGCACTTACTAGTTGTGTGATCATGGGCAAGTCACTTAACTTCTGTTTGCCTTAATCCACTGGAGAAGGAAATGGCAAACCACTCTAGTATCATTGCCAAGAAAATCTCATGGACAGTATGTCTATGGCTTCATGAAGAATCAGACATAACTGAACATCACTAAAACCCTTTCCAGCTCCAATGCCTGTGATGGCCACAGGGATGCTTTTTTTTTTTTGGACCATTCTGCATTCAGAATATGGATGTGCATTTTCAGTCCTGGCTTTGCTTTCAATAAAATGACCTTCTTACCCTAGTCAGCATTCTGTCTTTTTTAATCAACTGTGTAACGTTTGACTCATTTATTTTAGTTTCTGCTGGTGCTCAAATAGTAAGAGGACTTTGTCCACTCTCAGTTTTGGAGCAAGTCAACAGGGGAGGTGCCTCCCCCTGCGAACCATTCAGGCTTGGTGTACTGATGGATGGGTATGCATTTCTTAGGAAGAGAAGTGCTGGGTGCCAAGGTAAGCAAGAACATTTTTTTAGAAGTACATTTAAATGGTGCTTTAAGGTTTGCAAAGCACTTTCCCAGGTCTCAATTTGTCTGAGGCAAAGCCCATTCAATTAAAACAACAACAACAACAGCAGCGAAGCACTTTATATAATTTTCTCATTTGATCCTCTCCACAGCCTTATTAAATAGGTACTATTCTTCTTCCCATTTTTCAGAAAAGGAAACTGAGGCATCTTTGTTCAGTTGTTTTTCAGTCACGTCCAACTCTTTGTTATCCCAGGTGCTCTATCCTCTGCGCCACCTAGCACAAATGGTCAAATAGTTAGCGCTGTTTGAAGTGGGATCTGAATCCAGGTCTTCTTGATTCCAACTCCAGACTTTGATCCGCTATGCCATGTTGAAAAACAATATCATAGTTGGGGAGGATCTTAGAGGGAGGCTGATTTGGACTCAAAAGGAAGATCTTGGTTGCAGAGCAGTATAGCAATGGAATGGAAAAACATGGCAGCAAAAGGATGGAAATATAGCTTCAAGATGACCTAGGTTTAAATCCAAGGGTGACTTGCAGGTTGTATGACCTAAGGCAAGTCATTTCACTTGTTGGTGCCCCAGGCAACTCTCTAAGACTGTAAATTGCAAACAGTGGCCTGTCTGTATTGGTAGACAGGGTTCCTCCTTGGACCTCCCCAATCTGATGAAATGGCAAGGAGGGACCAAAGACTTCAACATAAGTCCCAGCATGATGTAGTGGTTTATCTTGGGAGGTGTTGGGTTCCTTATCACTAGAAGTTCTTGAGCCAAGGCTAGCTGACTGTGTTTCTTATACCTAGAACCAGAAGGGATCTTCAAAATCCTTTGGTCCAGCTTGATGAAGGGACTTGACCAAAGTCACAGAAGTGGCAGAAATAGGATTTGAACCCAGGCCTTTATATCAAAATCAGTACTCTTTCCCCTACACCATATACATGGTGGGGGCAGTGGGGAAGAGAGGTGGTAGTGGATGTCTTGTAGAAAAGGTTGAGGGTTTAGGTAGTGGTGGGGTCATGACCTCTTGGGTCCCTTCTAATTCTAAGATGCCTAAATCTATTTGACAAACATTTTGATTCTCTATCACCATTCAGCAGAACTGATAACAACACTCTTGACAAATTTTGGTCCTTCCTTATAGTTCTCTTTCTGGAATGAATTTGGGACCGTGAGTCAGGGGATGTGAATTCTAGTTCTGGTTCTTTCATCATTTAATTGGATGGCTTGAGTAAGTCACTTAATATTTCTGTGACTTGGTTTTCCTCATCTGCAAAATGTACAAAATAACAGCTGTTGTACTTACCTCATAGAAATGTTGCAAGACAATGACAAGATAAATGCAAATGTTTCAAAAAGTTATTAGTTTTTGAGGTCATCTCAGTTACAAAATGTTTACTTTTCTTGTTGTCTACTGAAAATTTACCAAAAATTTCCATTCATCATTGTGTTTCACAAATTCCCCAAATTCTAGTATTTCAGTGTTGATACCCTTTACTGAGTTGAACAACAAATGTATTAAGCATGTACTATATGCAAGATATTTTGATGGGTACAGTGGATATAGAAATGAAAAATGATTCAGCCCTTGCCCGTAAGGAATCTGCATTCTAATGTGGTGTTGGAGAAGAGGGCAGAAGAAGATATTTGTACTAATGATAATACTAATAGCTAACATTTATATAGTTCCTAGTATGTGACAGACACTGTATTAAGTACTTTACAAATATTATCTCATTTGATCCTTAAAACAACCCTGGGAGGTAGGTGCTATTATCACCCCCATTTTAAAGATAAAGAAACTGAGGGAGAAATTAAGTGGCTTGCCCAGGGTCACACAGTAGAAAGTATCTAAGGCTGGATTTGAACTCAGGACTTCTTGAGTCCAGGCCTGGCACTTTAGCCACTGTACCACATAGCTGCCTCTATAAAATGGCCCTAGGTTTCCCAGCAAATAAATATGATTAAAGGAAAAGTGTGATAAGAAGAGATCTAGACCATCCATCCTTCACATTACTGCCAAAATGATTTTTGAAATGTATAACACATAATGGAAAAATTTGAGGAGAACGAATGCTTAGTAAATGCCTGTTGAGTGAGGTTGAAAAATTTATTTTCAGAATTCTGTTAGTGGAGATGATTTGTCAACATCAGCCTCCAGACCCAAGGACCATGTTCCAAGTGTCCCAATAGGTAACTGGACCATCCTCTATATTGACGGTGTTGCTCAGCCTTATCCTAGCCAAGGAAGGTTGAAGCCCTGCCTTGTGGCAGGAGAGGGGAATTTTAGCATGTTAAGAGGTTGTTGGAAGCCCAAAACTTCTTTCTTGGTGGCCATCTTTCTGTTGATAAGCCCCTCCTCACTTAGCTAGGCTCGGTCTAGCAAGGCAGATTTATTTGTGGCTAGGATCATTCTCTTGCCTCCTATCCCTATCATCTGGATAACCTTGGACCACCAAGTTATCTATATTGAAAATAATATTATCTGGACTATCTACCTTAAAAGGGTGTTGTTGAGCTCAAAAAAGGATAAGCTACATAGAATGCTCTCCAAACTTTAAAATGCTGTATTAATATCAGAGTTTTAGAAAATTATTTTATTATTATTATTATTATTATACTTGTTTATAGACAGCAGAGTGAATGACTATCCAAAGGGCCAGAGAAAAGCTTTAGCATGTTGGGTAACCCAAGTGTCAGAGACCCATTCCTTCATGTAAGTTAGAAAGATAGAGAGACACATTTATTAAGCAGTTATGTGCCAGGCACTATGCTATGCACTGGAGATACAAATCCAAGAAAGCAAGACTTTCCCTACCCTCAAGGAGCTTACATTCTAATAGGGGAAGACAACACATAAAAGGGAGAGAGTGTCCAGGAGTGAGTGAGGTGAAGCATGGCTAGGGTCCTTTCTGAAATAGTGGTCAGGGAGCAGGGGAGAGTCACCAGTTAGGTAAGAAAAGCAGAGTGGCAGTATGGCAAGAGAGGAGAAAGATGAAGGAAAACCCCCAGAATCTTCTTGCTGTCATCCGTTGCCACACTCCCTCACATGACTCCCTCCAATACTCTCTTCTTTTTCTTCTTTAGCACCTCCCAGTTACTATCTATATCCACTGTTATGTATCACTTCTAGCAGATATCCTTCATTCCTCCCACTAACTCAAATAGGAGGGGTGGAAGGATGACAGGCAAAAGATTACTGAGGAGGGGCTGGTATGGGGAAAACACAGCAGCGGGTGGACATGTGGAAAGACATGGACGGGAAAAATACAGGATGAGAAGGTATTGGTGGGCTGTCACCTACATCAATGGAGGGAGTTCCTAAGTTGAATGCATTGAAGTATTGTAGGAGAAGTATGGGGTGCACATTGAAAGGGGTGCGCATGGCCAGAGTTATGTTCCCCCCCCCAGGTGGAATTAAGGTACATTCTTGACTAAGTTATCCATCTAAAGCCCAGAGAATCTAATAATGTTATTAATTTGTGGGTCTTCAGGGATCATTACTTCTATCCTTGATTGACCTCTAGTCAAATTCTAATTTGTTTCCAGCTAATTTCTATCAACACTTTTGTTCTTCCACTCCCTCTATGAGCATCTCTCCTGAAACCCACTCTTTCCAAGGTATAGGTTGGACTTAATGGCTCCTTGGCAGCATGGTCCCTTCTAACTTGGAATTTTTGTCATTCTGTGATTCGTTTGTCTTCCTCCTGGCTCCTTTCCCAATCACATAAAAGACATGGTCATAACCATTTAGATGGTTGGAAAACAAACATACTCGGACTTAGACATCTAATAAATATTATTCTCTTTCAAGTAATCACCACGTGCATGTCCCACTGATGCTGCCATAGAGAGGAGCATTTTGGGAATTCTTCTTTTAGAGACTTCACAGGTCCTACATCAGAACTTGGAGGAATACAGTAAGATGAAGTTTATTAGTGATAAATTTTAGGCCATTTCAAGAGAGGCATAATATTCAAGACTAGTGATATGATTGTTCTGCTCTCCTCTACTCTGGTCAGACTACCTCTGGATATAGATTAAAAAAAAAAAAAGAAGGTCCCAGCCTGTATTGGTAGAGGGAGTTTCTTTCTCTGAGAGCTCCTATATATCAATGAAATCACAAATCCAGTTTCTATTCCTATTCTATTTTATCCAAGAAATGGTGTGACCAGCATGATGGAAGGCCTTGAGATGCTCATAGGAGGATGGGTAGGAGTAACAGGTAGGGATTGCAGAGGAGCAGCTTTAGGCTTGATATAGAGCTATCCAAATTAGAGCTCTCAAAGCTGAACACGTAAGGGACTGTGTTCCTCCTCACTAGTGGCTTTCAAACAAACGGTGGGTGGCTTCTTGTCAGGTAAGTAGTCCACTACCTTTTTCAGGTATGAGTTAGAGTGAATGGCCTCTGAGGTCACTTCCAACTCTGAGATTCTGGGTTGCTGCCTGGATCAGACCATACCTGGAGCCCTGAGTTCAGTTCTGGGACCACATTTTTGGAAGGATATGGATAAGCTGGTATGCATAGAAGTGGGTGACTAGGTTAGTGAGAAGCCTGGAGGACATGATGTGAAGAGCAGTTGAAAGAACTGGAAATGCTTCTTCTAGAAAAGAGATGACTTAGGGATGACGTGATATTTGTCTTTAAGTATCTGATGGGCTGCCATGACAAAGAGGGGTTGTTCTACTTTTCCTATAGTTACATGGTAGAACAGCATGCTGGGCTTGGAGTCAGGAAGACCTGAGTTCAAATTCAACTTCAGACACTTACCACTGTGTGACCCTGAGCTAATCACTTAACCTGTCTGCCTCAGTTTTCTCAAATGGAAAATGAGGGTAGTAATAGTACCTCCCTTACAGGGTAGGGCAGCTAGGTGGTCCTGTGGATAGAGCACTGCGCTTGGAATCAGTAAGACTCATCTTTATGAATTCAAATCCAGCCTCAGACACTTACTAGTTATGGGCAAGTCGCTTCACCCTGTTTGCTTCAGTTCCTCATCTGTCAAATGAGCCAGAGAAGGAAATAGCAAGCCACTCCAGTATCTCTGCCAAGAAAACCCCAAACGGGGTCATGAAGAGTCAGGCACGACTGAAAAATGACTAAACAACAACAACAAACCTTACAGGGTTATTATGTGAGAATCAAATGAGATACTAGTTGTGAAGTGCTTAGCACAGTGCCTGGCACGTAATAAGCCCTATATAAATGTTAGTTATTTTATTAATGTTATTATTATTAGGAGGTCTCAGAAGGCAGAACTAAAGGCCGAAAGTTGCCTAGAGACAGATTTAGGTTTAACATAAGGGGGAAAGGAGGGTACTTCCTAACAGAGCTGAGTGGCAGTAAAATGGGTTGCCTCAGGAGGTGGTGAGCTTCCTCTCCCTGGAGATATGGATTATTATTATTATTACTATTTTTTTTTTTAACAAAAAATTCAAGTTCAGGTATGGCCTCTGAGACCTCTTCCCGCCTCCAGATTCTATGACCTTATTGGACTCATTTGGACCAATATTTGGCTTTGCTTGACTACGTTCTTTTTATTCCTTGTGCCAGGGAAATGAAAGACATGGCAAAATGAGACTCCTCTCGATTGGGAGGAGTCATTGTGACAAGACACTTAGTGAAACTCTGTTCTTTGCCAATCTATTTTGTCATGAGGTCAGACACTCAGTGAAGGAAGCAGTTCAGTGGTGTTTTTAATGAGAACAGAAATGTTTTCCTTTCAGGGTAATTCCATGCACACACACTATTCAAGATCAAAGGCCAAAGACACAACCAGAGACTGGAGAAGAAGAATCAGGAGGCAGCCAAGCTAATGGTGTGGGGGTGGGGAGGGGCTGTTGGTTGGGAGCGGTGGCTGGCAAAAGCAGCTTTGGGCTCCACACCAGTGCTTCTTCTGCTAATCTTAAGGTAATCCTTGACTTTCAGAACCTCTTTAGACATAGAGGAAAGGCAAAAGTTACAAAAACAAAGCTGAAATAGCTGTTCCTGATACATACTGTATTGGGCAACAAAAGCTTTTTTTCCTTTCATTAATATGAAAATCCTGTCCTTCTGTCTGTCCTTCAGCTTGTCATCTAGTCAGTCAAGCATTTATTAAGTGCTTATTATGTGCCAGGCCCTGTACTCAATTCAGGGTATGCAAAAAAAAAAAAAAAAGAAAGAAAGAAAAAAAGGAAAAAAACAGTCACTACTCTCAAGGAGCCTTCAATCTAATGAGGGAGATGACCTATAAGTAATTAGGTACCTATAAGATACGTACAGGGTGCATGTATGGTAATCTGAAAGGGGAAGGTATTATCAGCTGTGGGGATGGTGGAAAGGTTTCCTGCAGGATAGGAGACTTGAGCTCACTCTTGAGAGAAGCCAGGAAAACTAAAAGATGGAGGGGAGATAGCATTTCAGGCATGGGGCAGATCCAGTGCAAAGTGCTGACAGCAGATGGATTGTCTTGTTAGAGGAAATTGTCAAAAGGTCGGTGTGACTGGATCATAGAGTTTGTAGGGAGGAGTAAGATGTAAGAAGACAGGAAGGGGTCAACTTATGAAGAGCTTTAAAGGTGAAGCAGAGTACTTGACATTTGATCCTGGAAGTAATAATAGGGAGACCCTGGAGCTCATTGAGCAGGAGGGTGACATTCGGCCTCTTAAGAAAATAACTCTTCTGAACTATACCATTTATCATCAATTAGGTGTCAGAAGGGAGGAGACTGTCCTTGGTCTAAATGGATCTTGGAGTGCCTAAGTGGGGGGCCCTCTATTTTCCATTTGAATAATGGCTAAGATCTGCTATTAACTAACAGTGTGACCTGGGGGCAGGGCAAGCATCTCTCATCTCTGTGCTCCAGTTTCCCAGTTTCTTCCTCTATAAAGTGGAAATTGTTGGGCCAGGTGATCTCAGTGGTTCCTTTCTTCTTCTTGACATCCCATGTTCAGTGTTCTAATGTTTGTTCCAGCATCTATATTCTGTGCTCTACGGCTCGAGGGTCCTTCCAGAGCTCACATTCTAGCCCTTTGAGCCCTGATATTAGATGTTCTGTGTTGTAAGGTTTCTTCTTTAACTTTTTGTGTGCCTGAGTCCATAAGGTTTTACCTTAATGACTTCTCATGCAAATGGTTCTGTCCTCTATTTTTGGCAACTTTCATTGACTTGTTCCACTTTGCTTCTTTTTAAAAATGAATTTGTATTGATAACTTTTGTTTTTACATCACTTGCATTTTCCCCTATATTCCTTCCTTTTCCCCTTCCTGGAGAGTTATTTCATATAGCAAAGAATTTTTAAAAAGAGAGAGAAGAGAAAAAAATCATTAAAACTAATTAATGCATTGAATAAAAAAAATGAAATGATCCATGCTTTTGGGCCCTTCACCTCTGTGAAGGAATGAGAAGCAGTGTCTTCTCATATCTTTTCTCTGAGGCCATGCTTGTTCTTTGTAACTTGCAACACTCGTTTTTGATCGTGACAGTTTTGGGGGGGATTGTTGGTTACACATGGGGGCTCAGAAAGGAAGATAGGATTTTCTCAACTGGACTACTACCAAAATAGTCCAGCTAGTGCCTTCTAGTATCCTGTGCACTTACTACAAATGTAACAGAACATAGAAAGAATCAGGAGACCTGGGTCACTTTGGATAAACCATGTATGTGTGAGAGATGAACTTAGGCAGTCACTTCCCTGTTCCAGTCCCTAGTCTCCTCCCTTTCACTCTCCTGCCTCCATCCCCCCAGAAAGCGAAGGGGCTGGACTAAATGTTCCATAAGATCTCTTCCAGTTTGAAATCCTGTGAGCCAATGAGAAGCCCTTCTATTTCATAACCATGAGACATAACCAATGCATAAGGAATCTGTGTAGAGACCTGGAGATTACCCAAGGTGATGTTGCTGAGCCAGATAAAATTATTGCACATCTTTTTTGAAGACTTTCTGAGATCTATGAAGGATCAACATTTTTTTAAAATGATGTTTTTGTTTTTATATCCCAGTCATTTTTGGAAATCCTGTCTCTCCCTTCCCCACCCACATTCAATCACTCTCCGCTTTGACCCAGTGAGCCTTCCCTCATGAGGAAAGCCAACTCACAAAGGGAGAGTGTCTGATGATGAATGCAACCTATAGTCCCCTCATTTCTCTGAAGCAAGGTTGGAGATACATTTCCTCATCTCCTCTCAGAGGCTGATTGATCATTTCATTTGTATGGTATATTTAGGTTTATGTTAGTCTTCTTTCTGATATATGTTACTATATTAATTGTGCCTGTTTTTTTCCTGGGTCTGCTTACTTAATTGGTTCATACAGATTGTCCCGTGTTTCTCAAAATTCTTCATATTTGTCATTTCTCATAATATAATACCATTATATTTTATTCATATCCCACAATTCCTTCAATCATTCCCCAGTAACTGGGCACCCACTTTGTTTCAAGTTCTTTACGACCACAAAAATTGCTTTATGAATATTTGGCCATCTATGGGACCTTACATTTTGTTTTGAACTCCTTAGGGTATAAAAGACCTGCCGTGGCTTCCCTGAGTCAAAGGCTATGAACAATCTTTGGCTGTTAAAAAGAGCAAATTGATGGAGTCTGTTTCAGTTTGGAATTCCATGAAGTATAAAAGTCTTCTGGTCAGCAATTTCCATAAGCGTAGGGATGAGAAAGGTGAAATATTGTCAACAGGGTCTTGGCCCACAATTCTCCTAATCCATGTTAAAGAAGCCTATATCCCTGAAGCTTTTGAAATGATCCTTAATGAGCTATTCACTTGGGAGTCAAGAAGACCTTTTACACAGGTTTTATCTTCCTTTTGGACTCTGAACCAGAGTTGTAAATATTGGGCAACAGGGATTAGGCTTGCAGTTTTCATGTCAAAAGACAGCAAGTGGGAGTTGTGCCTTGGTCTCCCCTCAAAAATGGATCTGTTTCAAGGATCAAGGGAAAGTAAACAGGTCCTTCAAAATACTTTTGTTTTTGGAAAGCCTAGCCCTGGAAATACTGTATTTGAGTTCTGAAGGTGTTTGTGTAGGGAGAGCAGGTCAGGAGGGGAACACACACAGGCATGTGCTTGATTTAGCTTGACCTGGCTCATGAGAGCTAATTGTTAAATTTTCAGTATGAATATTTATACCTCAGAAATGGGCAAATGCTACAAGTCAGGGTTTGATTTATTATTGTGTTGATTATATAGACTTAGGAAAGTAATGGATAAAATGTTAATAATGCAGATTACACTTAAAAATGTCATGAGTGTTTTTCCCCCAGAGAGCTGGTTGTTAAACATTTACCAGTACACCTCCGAATACTCGCCAGCTGTAAAAGATCTTCCCACATGTCTGAGAGCATTGATGCCACCCTAAATGTGAAGGGTGTTTTTTTGTACCAAGTGCTGCCTCTGGGGTGGGAGGGTGGATGAAGAAAAAACAAAATGTGATGCCCTCAAGGATTGCTTATGATGGAGTTTGGAATTTGAGTGCCTGGGTTATAGAGCTAGATATCAATTGGAGAAGAGAAGGATGGGTGTAATGAGTAGGGATCCCTCCAGTGACCTCCATTTACAGGGGTTATAGGTCATAGAATTACAGGCTTCAGAACTGGAAGGGATCTTAGAAATCATTCAGTCTAACCTTTTACAGAAGAGGAAACTGAGACTCAGAGAGAGAAGAGTGACATGCTTAAGGTCACATGGGTAGCAAACAGTCCTAGGTCATTGGGCTCCAAATTCACTATGTTTCCTATAATGTCACGATGCTTTCTCAATGTAACTTCCCACCTCTCTCCCTTCCAGACTTAAACCCAGCACTGATTGTGATGCTTAAGACCTAAAAACACTTCATTGCCAGCCTTGAAGGAAATCAGACAATGAGACCAGAAAACATGAAATAGATGTTTCTTCTCCTAAGTATCCATAGGAATTTGCCTCACAGCCCTCAAATACCAAATGTCATAAGGAAGAATTAGAACCAATAGGAGGAACCACAAGAAAGAGGCCTCTATGGAAGAAATGGAGGTGAGAATTGAGGGGAGAGGGAGAGAGAGTATGGATGAGGTCAATGTGAATTTTAGAGTCCAGGGAGATTTTTTTTTTTCTGTAGTGATTTCTGAAAATGATGTGTGAAGTTTTATTACATTTATGCAAATCAGCTCTGGAGATTAAAAATGTTGGATGTGACTAATCATACTGGCTGTTTTCAGAACAACTTGTTATATAGTTGAATTTTTTTTTTCTTTTTTAACTTTCCATAACAGAATTTGAAATCCCCAGAGCCCATTAGAATTACTTCAGAGAACCATCAAATAACAATGTTATAATCAATCAATCAACAAACATTTATTAAGCACCTACTATGTGCTTGGGGGTACAAAGAGAGGCAAAAGATAGTCCCTGCTCTCAAGGAGCTTGATATGATGGGGGAGACAACACATAAAAAGGATGTATCAAGGGGGAAGATAGCTGGCATGGAGGCATGATGAAGTTCAGAGGATTGTAGCTGGGTAGAAAATAAAGAAATAGCTGCCCTAGGTGCCCTCCTTAAATGGAGGATCTGAGAGGAGCTTTCTGCTGTCCGACCTCCACCCTCTCCAGAAAGAGAAAAAGAAGAACCCCAGGGACAGGGGGAACTGATCAAAAGGGCCTTTAGAAATCAATGAGTCCAGACATTGAGTGAGGTGAGCAGAATCAGGAGAATGTTGTACACAGTAACAGCCACGCTGTACCATGACTAACTTTGATAAACTTAGCCCTTCTCAGCAATGCAAGGATCTAAGACATCTCCAAAGGTCTCATGATGGAAAATGCTATCTACATCCAAAGAAAGAATTATGGAGTTTGAATGCAGATCGAAGCATACTATTTGCTATTTTATTTCTTCTGTTTTGTTTTGTTTCCTCTTTCTTGTGGTTCTTCCTAATGGTTCTAATTCTCCCTAAAACATGACTGATGTGAAAATATATTTAATAGGAATGTATGTATAGCCCATATCAGATTGCATGACATCTTGGGGAGGGAAGGGGAGAAAAATTTTAAACTCAAAAGCTTATGGAAGCAATTGTTGATACATCCAAATAAATTAATAAAAAAAAAAGTTTAAAAATCAGTGAGTCCAATCTCCTAATTTTACAGATGAGGAAACAACTAATGAGATTTTAAATCTTGGATTGGAAAGACCTTATAGACCATCTAGTCCATTCCCTCCTCTCCCATTTTTACAAATGAAGAAACTGAGTCTCAGAGAGATTAAGTGACTTGTGAAAGAATATACAGATGGTGGCAGAGGCAAACACCTTGTTTTTTTCATTGTTCCACAGTGGCTCTCTGTGAATCTACTCATGTTGCCCCCAGAATGGTGGAAGTGTTTTTCTCCAGATGACACAGCAAATTTAGCAGTAGATCTAGGTCTAGAACCTAGGTTCCCTCATTCATAATCTTGTGTATTTACAGTCAATCTTAACAAAAATAAACAAACAACAACAACAGCAACAAATCATGAATGTTGATACATTGAACCTATGGGAAATAGGTGGTTAGATTTCCAGAACCACCAAAAACTGATTTTTCTTTAGAGACTGCGTACTTGAGAGGTTACTTTAGCACTTTCTGGGGTGGATTCACGAACGCTTTTTTACCAATACTTTCCTTCTTTTTGCAGATACAAAGCTTGAAGCCCTCATTGGCATGAAATTTATCTTGGCACCTTTATTTTCTCACTAAACCACATCATTGACCTTGCATGCTGGAGTTTAGAGTCCACAGGATTTGCACTATGCTTTGGGGGCATAATTGCAACAGAAAACTTGAGTTTCAAAGGCAAACAATGGAAATAAGCAACGAGCTCATCTCCTTCTCAGACCTCTTCACCCTTCCCTTTTTCTTCTTCCCTTTTTCTTCCCTCCTCCCTCCTCTCCTCCCTCTTCCCTCCTCTTCCTCTCCTCTCCTCTCCCTCTCCTCCTCCTCTCCCTCTCCTCTCCTCTCCTCTCCTCTCCTCTCCTCTCCTCTCCTCTCCTGTCCTGTCCTGTCCTGTCCTGTCCTCTCCTCTCCTCTCCTGTCTCTCTCCTTCCCTTTCCCCCTCTCCTCCCACCCCTTCTTTCCAACCTTTCTTCTTCCTCCCTGCCCCAGCCTACACAATGCCTTGGGGGACATCATAGGGCTGTGCCAGGACACGTTCTCCAAAATGGCCATGTACCTGACAGGTGAGCCGAGAGCTGCCAGTGAAGACTGTAAACTTCTGGAAAATATGAACAAACTGACTTGAAGTGTCTAGTAGTGAAAGATATTGCAATAAACATAAGTAGAAGCCTAAAGGACTTAAACCAGAAATATGTAGCGCTTCAGCCTCATCTAGATCAGATCACTTTAATTCAGGAGCAAGTAGCAGCTCTAGAGCAGGCAGCCTATGAGCTGGATACATATTCAAATAAACTAGAAGCAAAGTACAAGAAGTTAGCGAGGTGATGAAGGAATTCTTTAGCACAAAGACTTTAACTACAAGAAATGTTTCGTAAGAGTTGAAATAAGTGGGATGGAACTTATCACTGCAGTTCCTAAAAGGAAGCCATGCTTCTGATCCAAGGAGAATCCCAGGCCCCACCTTGAGTTGGATGTGTAACTTTGGCCACCCCTTGATGTTTTCCTAAAGTTGTACCCGCCTGGACCTTCATCTTATCATGTGCTTCATTGTGTGCCCTGGACCAAGGCTGAGAATCAGGATCAAGCCCGTCTAGAGCAAACACAGAGGAGAGGCTCTGGTCTCCCTGTCTCCTCCCTCCTCCCCCTCCCCTAGGGCTGCACCTTGGACTCTGTGTTCAGAATGTGCCCCCACCTCTTCATAACCTTGAACTTAAATAATAACAAATTATAATATATAATAAATAAAATAATAAAAATAAATAGTAAATAAATAATAAATGCTGACTTAAAGAAAAGAAGCAACAAATGCACAGGGACTTCTTTGCTCTGTAAGGGCAGGTGAACAAGACTAGTGAAGCACCTAGTAGGACACCAGCTGCTTCCCAAACTCGCACACACTGTGCCTCTCATTTTTTTTTCTCTACCATGCATAGCTATGAATGTATGCAGTTGGGCAAATGCTTGAAGTGACAAAAGTTGTTGAGGAATGACTGCTTTTTCTTTAACTAGACAGGGAGTACTCTGACCAGTTACGTCATCTTTTTCAGTGCTAAGAGTTCAGGTGCTGGCAGCCCTGTGTTCATCCTGGAGAGTAAATATTTTACTCTATCAACAAGGGGTTGATGCAACAAGGGGTGCACTTTAGAACATCCTTCTCTCTATGGTTCAGTCAATCCAAAATATTTGTTTAGTGCCTGCTAAATAGGCACTGGAGACACAAAGGAAAAACTGAAACATTTCCTGCCCTCAAGGAGCTTACATTCTATCAGGGAAGGCAGCATGTACCTATATTAATATGTAATATATATTCAAAATAAATGCAAAATCATTTTTGAGGGGAGGTGCTAGCAACTGGGGGGGGGATCAGAAAAGGCTTTGGGTAGAATGTGGTACTTGAGCCGAGTTTTGAAGGAAACTAGAGATTCTAAGAGTAAAGATGTGGAGGGAATGTACTGTAGGCATGGAGGTGAGGGTGGGGTAGTGAGTGTAAAGGCAGAGAGATGGGAGATAATATGTCTAAGAAATAGTAGGAAGGCCAGTTTGGCTGGATTGAACAGTGAGGAAAAGGAAGTAATGTATAATATGGTTGCAAAGGTAGGATAGGGCCAGCTTGTGAAAGGTTTTAAATGCCAAATAGAGGAATATGTACTTGATACTAGAGGCAACAATGGAGCCACAGGGGTTTATTGAATAGGAGAGTGACACAGTCAGTCCTATGCTTTAGGAAAAATCACTTAGACAGTCTGTGAAGGGTACATAGGAATGGAAAAGAGAATTGAAACAGGGAGACCAATTATCAGGTTACCATAATATTCTAGGTGAGAAAGGATGAGAACCTAAACTAGGGTGGCAGCTGTAAGAAGGGGACGAATGAGACATATTATGGAGGTAGAAACAACAAGATCTGGCAATGGGTTGGATATGTGGGGAGAGTGAAAGTGAGAAGTAAAAGATGGTGCACTGAAATTGTAAGTCTAGTGAGTAAGAGGACGGTGGTATCATTGAGAGTAATAAGGAAGTTCAGAAGAAGAGTGTGTGTGTGTGTGTGTGTGTGTAAGATAAGTTCTTTTGGAGCTGCTGAGTTTGAGGGGAACATCTATTTCAAAATGTTTAATGGGCATTTGGGGATATAGGACTAGATATCCAGGAGTCATCTGCATAGAGATGATAATTAAACACATGGGAGCTGATGAGGTCACCAAGAGAAGAGGAGCTGGGGCAGACCCTTGGGGAGCACCCAAGTTGGAAGATGTGACATGAGTGATGATCCAGTGAAGAAGCCTGAGAAGGCACAGTCAGACAAGTAGGAGGACCACCAAGAGCAGTGTCACAAAAACCAGAGAAAGGAAATAATCCAGCAGGAGAGGACAGTCAGCAGCATCCCATGCTGCAGAGAGGTCAAGAGGGATTAGGACTGAGACTAGGCCATCAGGTTTGGCAATTAAGAGATCTTTGGTAACTTTAGAGAGAGCAGTTTCAGTTGATTGGTGAGGTCAGAAGCCAGATTGCAAGGGGCTGAGAAGGAAAAGAAAAGAAATCAGAATCAGCCAACGAGCATTTATCAAGTGCCTGCTATACACCAGGTACTGTGCTAAATGGTGGAGACAATCCCTGCTCTCAAGGATATTACATTCTAATGGGGGCAACACCATATAAACAATTATGTATGAATAAGATAAATACAACCTGAACTAGAGATCATCAGTGGAGGGAAAGCACTAAGTTGTACTAAAGGGTTCTTGCAGAAGGTGAGATTTTTAGAGGGTACTTGAAGGAAGGTGTTGTAGTCTGTTAAAAAAAAAAGGAAAGATATAAGATAATGGCTTGAGGGAGTGGTAGGGTCTGGTGAGAGGTTTGATTTGTGGGGATGATGAGATCTAAAGGTTTAGGGGTGCTAGGACCCCAAAATCGGGACATATAGGTTCTGTCCAAATAAATTCAACCCAAGCCTTCTTTCAGCCAGAGACAAGGTTTATTAAAGATCCACCATGTTGGCCAGACTCTTAAGGAACCTGAACATTTGTGAGCTATTGGCTAGGTTCTTAAGTAATCTGAGCACCTTAATGGAGACAAGATGGACATTATATACAGAAAGACTGTGGGAGGGATCTAGGAAGGATCTTTGATGGGAGTGACCAGAAAGCTGAGAATGGGGTCTAGATAGGGTCAAAGGTGGGGAGTAGAGAGGGGCCATAGGGAGATAAGACAATGGAGGGCTAGGCTAGGTTTAGGCTAACAGAATTGGGAGATTGGACATAGGTGATAATGAAAGGTCTTAGGGGAACACCAGAGACCTCCTTGATCAAGGAGAATCCTTTAGACAAATGGGACCCAAATTCTTTTTGGGGTAAGGGGCAAAGGTCTCGGCTTGGGCCCATACCCCATCAAGGAGATTTGGATATACTTATTGACAGAAGTGAAGAAACCACAATATAGGGAGAGGTTGAAGATTAGAGATAGAGGGTATGAGACTAAGTACAATCTGCTGGAGAAGATGGGAGGAAGGGTTTTATGGGTTCCTGTAGAGGATTTGGCCTTGGGGAGGAGAAGGGCCCTCTTCATCAGGGACTGTAGTAAAGGATGAGCAATTGTGGGGAGGGGGAGGATGATATAAATAATTTCTGATACATAAGGAAGGGGAGAAGAGGGAGTTCATGGTGAGTGGTCTCTTTTTTCTCATATGAGGGGAAATTCTCAGTTGATAGTGTCACAGATAGGATAGTATAGTGCTGGTCATCCCCCCCGCCCCCTATCATTTCCCACCCAGGCCTTGGACACTTTTCATATCAGCTAAAAATTTATGGGCAGGGCTGACCTGCAGTGTACAATTCTGCTGCTGGGACAAAGTTATAATCCATGTTGTATCTGCTTTGGTTAGGTCTGACCTTAAGAATGTGCACAAAAGGTCACATGGGCAGAGATTATTTGAGGGTTACTAGAATCCCCAATCTTCCACTGAATCTTATCTCTCCTAGACTATCTTTACCTTATTCCTTCCCCTCAACTATCTGGATGGATGTGTTAAAACAATAAACCCAAGAACTGGATATAGAAAGCCCAAGGTAAAGTATTTCCTCCTAAAGAGGACTGGACTGGGGTGAATGGATGAATGAAAAATCACTTATTAAGCACTTTCTATGTGCGAAGTATTGTGCTAAATGCTTAGGTTACAAATAGAAAGAGCAAGACTGTTCTTCCTTTCAGGAAGCTCACATTCTAATTTAGGGGCAATAACACATAAAAGAAAGGTCAGTTGCAGGGCAGGTGGCAAAGCCCAGTATCCTCCAGGCTAGACTGGAGGGGCAGATGGTGAAGCCCAGGAATCCTTAGATTAAGTCAATAGGGCAGATGACAGTGGGGCATAGAGGAAGGGCATATGATAAGGCATGGTCAGTCTTCCATCTCATTGGAAGGAAAACATGATTGGTGTGATTGTCACCTTATCCAAACCATGTGAAAAGTCAAAGCAGCTTGGTTGGATTCTAGGCGGCCTGGAACTAGGGGAAAGGGGAAAAGAAAAGAAGGGGGAAAAACAGTTCTTGGGGAAGCAGGTTGTTCCTTCTCTTGGTTTTTCTGAATAGAATTCAAGCCACTGTTCAGCCACTGACTAGTTTTGGAACCTTGAAGAAATCTTTAAGCCTCCCTAAGTCCCAATTTCCTTATCTGAAAAATGGGAATAATAAAACTTGTTCTAACTTCACAGGTTATTAATGGGATCATATACAATGATATATATATATAGATATAGATATAGATATATCTATATCTATATATATTTATAGGCTT